AATATTATGCTTCGATGAACTCGAAGAAGATTTTCGAGAGAGTGATAGTAAAATGAATTCTAAAATTAAATTACATAATGAATTTACAAGGTAAAATCGTAATATCTTAAATCAAATCGTTGTTTTTAATTTTTCATTATAGTGAAAGAATTCGAGTAAATTTAAGTATGGGATCTGAGCCAACCAGAGAAAAAGATATAAATGAAACGATTGATAATGACCGTGAATTAGTTATTCAAATGAGAATAAACAGTAAAATGCATGCTTGTTAAAATTCATAGTTTTGCTTATAGGCTTCTGTTGTTCGAATAATGAAAGAACGAAAGTTTTTAAAATATTCATTATTGACGCAAGAAGTTATTGAAAAATTAAGCTTACGTTTCAAACCAAAAATTCCTTTAATCAAGGTAAACTCATCTTTGTGTACTAGAAGAAATGAATGATTTAATAATGCCAGTTAACATTCTAGAAATGTATTGACTTATTAATCGAAAAAGAATATCTTTGGCGCGACTCCAATGACAAGCATACAGTACTCTATCTGCCTTAAAGAACAAACCTTTAGTATTAATCAGGAACTAATTCGTTAACATAGATTATGAAAATGGACGAATTCATAACTTTGCTTAAGCATACAGCTATTATACTATTTAATAAAACGAATTTATTCATATATATATATCTTGAATATTCTTAAATACGACATAGCAAAATCTTTATTTTTTTCTTTCTAAATATCAAAAATAGAAATTTTTAAATCAATATCGCTACATGAATCAATTGTAGTTAATTAGCTATTGAAAAGGCGTGTAAAATGCATTATAATCAAAATTCAGACTGTGGGTGTAGGTGTGGATGTGTGGGAGGGTGTGGGTGTAGGTGTCGGAGAGTGTGGGTGTGGTGGTGGGTGTGGAGTGTGAATGCAGGGTGTGGGTGCCCATGCAGAGATATGGACACCCACCCCCACTCCCACACAAGCACATCCCTACCCACCCACACTCACACCCTTTCATAAATAAGTGTTATCTATATGATGACATAATCGATTTTGAATATACTATTTGAAGTAGATGACATCAACAAAGTTATGAAATGTCTTTAACAACCAATTTTGTTTTCTTTCGTTCACTATATCACATCAATTTGTTATTACTTACTATCAATTTCATTTCAATTGAACATGCTGATATATTTGAGTAACATATGCGGAAGGCCAAAAGTAGTGACTTATCAAAACGAAAACTCTTGAACCTAATCTACCCAGCATTCACGCATAGTCTCTTATTTTGTTTTTCTTAATATAATAATAAAAGAAAAAATAAAAAATTTATGCAATCTGAATTTGTTTTAGGATTTTAAGAAAACCAATCAGATAAATTCTGTTTTTTTTCTTGCTAATTGTAAGTTAGAAACGGCACATTTACATTGAGCATTTCATAGAGTTTAGACAGAGCACAGTTATTCAAAGTAAAGCGAATTAACCATGAAAACAATACACGATAGAACTCAGAAGTGCCACTCATTCTATAGAATATCGATAAATAAAGAATATTCAACGTAAGATTTACTAGTAGCATGGATTTGGAATACTTTCAGTGAATTATAGTACCAATAGATATGAATCGATAAGTTATTTTGCAAAAAAAAGGATTTCTTACGAAACCTACCCTTTAAAATAACGACGCATCTCAAGTCTTAATCGTTTTCATCGACAAAAACGTCTTCGCAAGATAGTGACATATCTTTTATTTTGAGTCAGATAATAGATTAATGTGGAATAAATTAGTCGACCATAGTAAGTCTTGTCGGTTCAATCTAGAGATTAAAAACACACGAATAAAACAAATTATCATGAGATAAAATAATATATCAGTTTTCTTTTCAAATAAAATAAATTGAGAGAATCAAATTAAACAAAATTTGACAAGTAACGACTTTTATCTAGAATCCAAATTTGAATATGTTTTCAAATAAAGATTATAAATACAAATCAATCATTTCTATTACAACAGACAAATATAACATTCGATATGTGACTTGTGCTTCGACTACTTTCCATAACTGTGAAATTCGTGAGCGGAAAAAGTTCACGGACGTCAAGATAACTATGCTAAGCAAATAATACGAAATAGTTAGCTATGCACTTGATTATGATAGGCATATTTTATCCGTGTTTATTTCATTGGCAAATATATATAATTAGCAAAATAAACATTATGTTTGGGGTTATTATAATTTCGATTTCTTCTCAGAAAGAATTCTTTCAGAATTTACCTACTCAGCTCTAGCGAAGGGAGATCTTACTACTAGTATCATATCATTTACTGAAGGAAAGATGGTACATCGTAGATGCTATCGACTTCAGAAAGTTAAATAGGCGAAAATAAGCAGAACTACGGTGTTATGATGTAATATCGTGGCGTATACAATCAAATTTGCACATCATTTACACCATATTCCTGTTATAAAACGATCATACAACCAATAAGCACGCCAGTACATATTACAACTCATGACTGTCACCAACTAAAACGGGAGCTACAAGGAAAGTTTTATTTTTTTACCATACCACATATATGCTTTTGAGTATATCTCACGCTATATGCTTGTATTGATATCCTTGTGCATTCACCCTTGTATACTTGCACCTAAACTCATATGACTACAAGTTTTATGAAGTTTGATAGAGTCAGAGTTGAATAAATCATCGACGTTAACGAGTGTTTTATGTACAAATAGAATAGAAAACACTGAAACTATATTAAAAACCGTTGTTGTGTATAGTCGTGAATGATCGAACGGAGTTCTCTCAGAATAATCGAGCATTTCATCATCGTGCAATCATTCAGTCTTAATCTTAAAAGGGAGCTATCAAAATAACTCACTGGAATTTTTCATTGTTATTTTTATCGAGAATTTGATGAATCATATTTAGAAAGAAAAATTTAAGATTTTATAATTTATCTATGCTGAGATATTTGCAAAATATTCGATATTTTAATGTACAGTACGAAAGAATGCTTTCTGAAATATAAACAACGAATAAAACGAAAAAAAATTCAATACTATTGATGCAATTTGTCGATCTACTTGAAGAATTATTAGTGAATAAATATTAAGTGATTCAGCGATATTTTACATAGACTCTTTAGATTTGTTATGATTTAGGAGTAGATATTATTCATATTTTAAATGATTTAATAATCTAGAAAAAGTATAAGTAATTGTAGTCGTACGGATATGAAAAGAAATGGTAAATATTTATGTATTCAGCTTTTGACTTAAACTAAAATCTTCTTAATTTTTCAGCCTCGATTCATTTCTATTATTGAATATTTTTTACTGAAAATTTTTCTCTATTTCTTGTAATTATTATCTAATCTAAAAGAAAACCGATTTATAATTTTTTCTATTAATCACTTGATAATATTATACTTCAACCTGAATCCAACACATTAATATCATTCGATTTAAAATAAAAAACAAATATGCTTATCTATTTTTTTAATCACAAATAGCTATATTTACTACCTGGACATTTATTTGATTTGTTACATGGGTTATATGAATATCAAATGATATCCATTTATTTTGCGCATAATCAATAGTACAGATAATAACAAGCAAAACATATATTTTTTTTCGTCCCTTAATATTCGAATTTCATAAATAGAACAAGTAAGAAAAATCGTGACCTGAACTTGTTGATAAACCAGTTGATGACGCTATTACAATGATTAAAACGAAAAATTCAAGCAAGAGAAGTTCATAACTATTAATTGAAATTTATAGATGAAATATTGTCTATTTCTTATAGATTTAAATGTAGTCAAATTAGAAGCAGAGTCATCCGTAACACTTGATTTAAGACCTAATTGTGTACGTATATTCTATGATGAATATGGCAACATTTCATCGGAATCAACAATCACTTAGATAAATAACTTTTATTTTAATAAAAATAAATATTTAAGTTCGAGAATTTATCTAATATAAATACTTTAATGTTCTTCCATATTTATCATAGAACAACATGATCAGTATATATAATTTCTCATCTCTTTTCAAATTTTTTGAGTCAATAATAATTAACACATTGCCAGTTGTTAATCAAGAACAAAAAAGCATTTGTAAATAATTATTCGACACTATCGTATTCATTATAGACTTCAATTACTTCTAATATATGATATAAATTGTCTAAGCTGTATTCACAACGAAAAAAAAATGACAAGACAAATTAGAATTACTTTTTATAATCATAATTATTTTAACTTGAAAATCGAAATATATTCATCTGAAATGACATTGAACAAAATGCTGAAAATTATCTAGATTTCATGATATATGATAAATAAAACAATTATTGATTCTAGATTATTTATTTCACATTCTAATCTCTCTGTAGATATACATAATGCATCACAAATTGAGCAAAAAATAAATAAATACTAATGATACAATTTTTTGTAGTTAGAAAAAAATTTCGATTTATGGTTTTATCTAAACAGTTGTTAACGAATAAATACATAGATTTTCATTCTTTTACGCATATTAAAAAAAGACAATAAATAATTACGTATTCAATATCTGATTTGAATCAAAATTTTTCCTATTCATGGTGCTGTTGGTATGTATATATCAATGAAAGAACCGTCAGCTACAATTCGAAAACAACATACAATCATTTTTCTTCTTTTCATATATGTAAATAATCATTACCTTGACATATTTTTCACTTGTCATAGCATCTATAATGATACTAATTTTGTTTTTTTTAATAAGAAAAAAATCAATCAGAAGCATATTCGCGGCAGTATTTGTGACATACCCTAAACCGTGAGAAATTTCTAATTTTGTCTTATATACCCTTCCTTTGCAAAAACACCATGACTCCCATTCAATTTTGAATGGTTCGGAGAATCACTGCGTATATATCATTATAGCTACGTAGTGAGAAAAAGATGTTTTTTTATTGATCATTTATATATAAACACAGTAGTAAATATAGTCAAAATTACTATTTCATATCATTTATAGTGCGTAAATATGTCACTTTATCAATCGTGGTCTGATCTGATTTGTACACCAATTGATGGAGCTGCTACAATAATTCAAAGTCCATGTAAGAAAAAAAAAACGAAAGTTTTTTGTTTCAATTTTCAAGTTATAAAATATACATATTTTTTAGATTTAGCAATGATTTCAATACCAGACGATACACAGGCAATAATAGATTGTATATATACTTTCGGACCTGTTGTTATTGACG